AATCATGGTAGGCTAATAAGGCCACCGAAAGACCGTGGTTCGTAAAAGAACGAACGCGGCTTACGTAAAGCCATTTGTGGCACTCAGTTCAAGCTTTTGATACTGATGCAGATTCGATGTCATGAGATCAGAGCAGAAGCGCGCTCATCACTGTTGTTTGCCACCATCCAGACCCAATAATGATCTCCAACGCCAACAACTTGTTTATGACCGAACACTCAGCATCACCCAGCGGTTTCATAGAAATGTAGCATAAAACTATACGTGTTTGGATAAACACATGATTTTAAGAAGAGATCTTCTAAAGCAGGAGTTTCGAAGGAACTCGAAAGCGAAATTATGGTTTTGCTCATCACTACACGTCACACGAGTGGCATTAAATTAAATTGCTCGGCACTTCTTGCCACCACCTTGAAAAATTTCTTGTGAGGTCTGACAGCATGAGACAGATGATTGTGATGATACTGGTGAGATATTCCGGAACCCTGGTTGGAACATTGTCGCTTAACTACTTTGTTAACTGAACGGGATAACACTGACTGACGCCGCAAAGTTGATTAAACATAGGCACCGTTTCGACCTCCTAAATTTTCGGGAAAACAAACCATGGATTGCTGGAATCAATTCAACCTGCTTGTTGAACAAGAAGAAGGGGACTACTGACAATATAGCGTGGTGACATTTTTATTCGAGATATCCTGTAAGTTAAGCCAGCCTATACCGAAATTTCGAGAAGTTCTATGCAGCTGTTTTATCTGTATTGGTTATCATAAGGGGTTCGCATCTCAGCAATATCCAGAGCAATTCAAACCCACAACTTCCTGGCTAATAGTTTGAACGCTTAACCGTCCGGATATGAGCAGCTGATTAGCAGTGTGATTCACTAGTTCTTGTACAGCATATGATGTCACGCATCCATCAACCGCGGACTTTAAATCACGTCATCGCCAGTCCACTCGCGTCTCAAATGAGGGCTTTTTGACGGGAGGCCTTCTTTTCATGTGGATTATCATCTTTTTTCTACAGATACACAGTATTGCTCGGTGGAGACCAACTTTAACCACAGGGCGAGATCTCAGCTAAACGAATGAACCCTTGAGTTTTTACTGAGGAATAAAAGCGTCTAGTGAATCCATTTATGAAAATCCTAGGATGTCCAATCGAAATGTTTCTAGTCAAAGAATAAAGTAGGAATATTACCAAACCCAAAAGATGCCAGTCGGTTGTTTAACTTACCGGTGGAGTCACATCTAAAATATAGTCCAGTATCTAGTATTTAAAATAGCGGAAACCTCAGCGTTTAACTGTTTCAAACTCCGGTGCCTTTATTTCTAAGGATGCAGGTTTATCCATACTAGGTCATGCTAGCAAAAATACTTAAGTTACTTTCTGAAACGTGAGTTCAAATCTTGCACTATTCACATCAGACGAACAGCTTTCAGTCTTAACTTTGAGGGATCATAGACGACCATATAGTGGTCAAGTTAGCTCACCGAAACACAGGATATTTTAATCGTTATGGTAATTAACACACATTTCTACCACATTCGAACGTTCTACTTCACCTCCCGTGTGAATTGAGAATTTAATACCAAGTGCAATCAGTGTATTCTGAATGTTCTCGAATATATTTACTTTCGTCGGATACGCCAAAAAAACTTTTGTTCTTTGTGGTGATATGTTCGAAGGTGAAAACAGCTAATCTTGCAAACTAAAAATGTCTTGGTGGATCGCCCGAGTTTTAAAGTTCAGAAACGAGTTTCACCAACAATGCTTATTTGACCACATCATGAAGCCAACATACGCAACACTGTTTTAACCACCGTTTTTAGAAATACAAAATGAAAGTTCGTTTCGCTAAATGCCATGAGCTATCCGTTTTTTCCACCACATTAGTTTGTACGTGTGGCCACTGTAAGGAAATTTCTAGATCTGTCCGGATTTTCTTCATTGCAACAGCCAATATGAGGAACCTTGGTGTTCTGCCATCTATTTGGGGACATATTATGAAAGTTTATTCCACTTGAAGTGGGTGGTCTGGAGAGTGAATATCCTTACACTTGTAAATGAGACACAAGATATCGCATCAAATTTAGGAGGAACTCGTACATAGATGGTCAGTTCTTATTACTCGAGTGATTGCGGACAAGTAACCTGTGTGGAGGTTGAACGGAACTCAAAAATATTTAATTTATTCTCTATCCATAATTCTGCACCCTTTTTATTATAGGTTTCTCGAAGTTTTATCCTTCTAGGCAGCACAATTGCTTCAAGGGCATTGGGGCTAGATGTATCAAAATCAGATTATTTCCAAAAATCCAATCTATTGCTTGTTTTTAGACGAAAAACAGTATAATCGCGAGTGTAGCTGGTATTCTTGAGAGACGCCTCACATTCCAAAAACAAAATTATGTTTTCGGGAGACAAAATATTAGTTTTCATGTAGCCATTTGGCCTGTTCTTCGGTTTTAATAAGTTAAATCCTGATAAAGCCCATGAGAAATGTTGGATCATTTTCTCAAAAAAACATCGGTAAAGACTGATTAGCGACTGACAAATGAAGGTTGACGTATATAATCAGGAAACTAAAGGACGCATTAGAGTCAGCAATAAAACTACCGTGTTTTATTATATTTGAAAACAAAGTATCCGACTCTCTCTTTCGAAACCGTTTTTTCGTTGGGCAAGTTATTCTACCCCATGCTCCAAAAAGCTTACTTAAGGAAGATGCTTCTTATTGGAGGTCCTCTTAAAAGCCCCTGCGCACAAAAACAAAACAATACTGCCTGGTAAACCCACGATTGTATCTGTTATCGATAAGCACTAGTAAACTTCTCTGTAAAATACGCCACATATGGGAGTTGTCCACTTGTTTGCAGCGGCTATTTTGGTCACTTCCGATAGCGACCAGTGAGACTGTATGCATAAGTATAAATCTTTGATGAGCTAGTTAAGTGCTAATTCAACAAATAAGTCGCCTTTCTTCTTGGTAATACAATCTTTAGAAAGCTCTGAAACACGGAAAACTGGTGACAAAATCCTGTGATATAAGCAGTAGGTGCAATCTTGCCATATTTTACTAGTAAGCTCCGCACTTGGGACACATCATGTAGCATTTGAAAACTAGGATAATGTTGGTTATCGAGCCTGTTTTTATCCCTCTACAACTTCAAATTTATAGTGAAAGCTGTCTTATTTCATTCTTTTAAACTAATTTCTTCCACAATATATCGCTCACTTCTTATAAATTACCAACGGGGGTTGGCTTCCGAACAATGATTTCTTATCAAGGGTCATATGAGTGACGCTGGCACGCGTTGGCCGCCATCACCATAAGCACACACTATATTAAAATTCCTATTCACACTCATCCAAAACATTGCGCTACGCCATTCCCACAGTTTTTTAAACAGGCTACATCCGCCTGGTAACTAGATACTAAACTGGCGAGCCATATCCGGTCATCATCGCCACCATCGACAGCATAACGCCATTCTTCAACAGTTATGCTATGCTGCCATACAACTGCAATTTGTTAAAAAGCCTTGTTGTTAACTGAAAAATAAAAGTGGATGAGGAAAGAACTTAGTCCCAGTCTATCACAATTGTCCCAAGATACCTACATCTGCAGACAATGACTGAGGCACCCTGGGCAGAAACTGTCAACAAAAGCACCACTGACATTGCTCAGCAGCCATATACTGCAGCATCTATGACCAAACACAGTGTGAATAATGCGATATCCGTCCAGGACGGTGAGTCGCATCTACAGCACATAGATGTTTTGTAGCCAATTTCCTTCATCAGCCAGGTCAAGGGATGACCACACCCTTGCTCCCGTCACTTTGAGCTGAGCATGAAGAACTTCACTGTATTCGACAAGACATTGCTTGGTATACGCCATACATGGTTTGACCAACACATCTTTGATCAGTGTTTGGTCATTATACCAAACGTCCTTATACTATCGGGTGGGGTTTAAGAGTAAAAAGTTTTGTCCACTCCCGTAACTAACTAACTTTGGCAGAGTGGTATCTGCAGTTTGCAAAAATGTCGATCTTATAGGTATCTGAAAGTATCAAGGGACAGCAAGTTTTAGTTGCAGCAATTTTTCGCTGTTATTTACGACAGAAGCGCCAACAATGATTACTGGTTGTTGATCAGAGCATCTGAAGACTTAATGTGAGGATTTTATTATTGAGATGGTGGGTATTACAAGTAAGGTGTTCCTTGCAATATTATTAATGTTTTGCCTTTGCGTATGGTGCACCGATTCAGAAAGCTTCCCTGATGCACTGCTTAAACAAATTTTTAACGTTGCTTCAGAAATCTACGTAAATTTTCTTGATTAAATTATTTTCCCCCAGTTTTTTGCTTATTTGTTTTTATTTTGCAGCACCTCTCAGCACCTCTTATAAACTTATCGTAAAGAACATTTTGGTCCTCAATTCAGACCAAGCTTTTTCTTCAAGTCATAGCTGCTGGAAACTTTTCTTGTCTGTTACAACGGTAATATCATAAAATCTGGTATGTGATTCTCACGTCTAAGGACACTTCCAAGTCAGCTAAACTAATCAGTTGGATGCACCAAAGAGTATTTTTGGTCCTAATACATCATTCCATCTTCAAACCCCTTAAGAGGATCCATGAACTAGCAACAGCTCATTTCTCCTCATCTTGAGGTAAGCTCGGTTGCTTTTAGATCAGAATTTAGATCTGAATTTTCAGGCAGTTTCACCCTACACTTTCGACTGCTCACAACAAAATTTATAAAAAAAAACGATGGTCACCTGTTAGGCATTATCTCGTTCCAAGTAAATTGATCCAGACCTAGCTATTACCAAAACCTAATTAACCAGCAAAACGAGTGGAGTAATCACAACCTCTATAACCTTATCTCTGTGATGCCAACTGACTCAGATGTCTTCTAAAACCTGAGTTAATAGCCCGACTTTTATCCATATCCAGTAGATTTAGTTTGATAATCATGTCTGAGGGGAGAAATAGAAGGTTAAATTGAATACAACCGAAACCTGCGTGGATTAATCAAACAGTTAACCAAAAAACGATTCACCTGTAACATTATGTTGGTGTCTCCCCTTGTTGTAACTCGATGGAATCCCGAGCACCAAGGTACTACTAGGTTGCTTACTATTGGCACAAGTTGCTGAGGTGTCATATTTAGATGCCAACCACTTACCTTCCAATAAATAAATAAAAATAAAATAAAATAAATAAAATAAATTTAGGAGGGACACCCCTTATTGTCAGGCGCTGCCACAGTTCCTGACGATCAGCAGAGTCAAAAGCAGAGCAAAGATGGGGGAGAACTATTATTGGCAATCGATAGGAAGATTGGCACAGTTCCAATTCAACTCTGACCAAGGCGAAACCCAACTTAATTCTCGAGATGACGCTTAGTCTGTATGATATAATGCCAGAGAAGAAATTGAAAGTGGCTCTCTGTACACTAATTTCAGGTGGTTTTTCTCGATTTTCTTGCACTCTTTTGAATGTGAATATCACTATTGAAGCGCTCTAATCTGTTGGAATACGTCCTCATTCGAGATATTTTGGAGTAGGGTCATCACATTAGCCATGTTGGACTCCCCATCTTAGTTAAAGAGTTCATGGTGCACAGCGTCTGGTTTAGGTGCTCTGTTGCCCTGAAGCTATAAGGTGGCGTGCCGGACTTCCGTTATCGATGACCTCCTGATGTGGACTTTTGAGTTGGGTTTATTTGCTCCATCTGGGGAGTGAGTTGATGTTGCCAAGCTGAGCTGCTCTTCAAAGTGATCAATTCATCATTCGAAACGACGCCTCTGTGAGTGGGTAGATCCCTCATTCTTAGAGGAGATAATTTCACTAGCATCCATTCTCTATGAACCAGGTAATCGGATTAGCTGGAAAAGAATGCAATTGCCCCGCGTCTTAAAATTCTTCTTCGATTCCCAAAGCTTTGCGATCCACCATCACTTGCTGTTAATCCTTGGGCTCTTCATCATTCGATGTTTTATTGATCTGTGCGTTCTAACATATGTTTGTTGCTGGTGTGGTTTTCTTGGCTTCAAACAACTACTGACCTCGACAAGATCCATTTTTCATTGTGGTGTTCAGGCGACCGCGCGCACACAATATCAAAAGATACCAGCGTGAATTTCTTCATGTTTTTACGATCATTATCTAAGGCACAAAACTTTCCTTTAGAAGGGCAATTAGTGACTATGCTTGCTCGCACAACACCGTGGTAGGGGTCCACTAATGCGTTCCAAAACGTACGGCAATCTTGTGATAATGCTCTCGAGCGTCAGCAGAATGCCACATGGTCTAACTGAGTTCGCAAATAACTTTTTTGTTTTGAGGACTGTGTGCTCACTAGATGAACGTTTGCTGACAAATAAGTGGATAGTATTTCGAAATCCCCTTAGTTCAAACATAAGGCACAATCTTGGTATAAAAATGAACCGACCGTGGTCAATCTTTAATCTCTACATGATTCTGATCGATGAATGGTATAAGCCATCTTAAAGGCGATTTACAAGAGACTGTCGGATTTTTGCTGTTTTGCAAATCGGACACTGGATGCTTACGGACACGAGGCGTACTCTTTCATCTGTCTTTTTTGTTTCCCTCCTACCACCCTACGATAATTGTTACGGCTTCGGTTGTGCCAGAATCGCTAAGGACTCTCATTCCTATTTTCATTTCTACCTCTCCGTCCGTCTGGTACAGGCCCACGTCCATTTGAGCTCCTTCGCGGGAGCTGCTATTGGCGAAAATGAGAACCTAAATACAGAGAGCTCTTTATTTTTAAAAAATACCCGCACGGGACCTCAAAGCTACATTTTCATACATAATTCGGTTTCCCGTTAAGTTCCTTCCTTTAAAAATATATATTTTTCTACGGGTATGGAATTGGACTCCTGAATGTTGTACTTTACCAACTCTTTGACCAGTATTATGTTTGTAAATGATGAACTCACCCGCGTAACCCCTGAACCTGTCCACATTCTCATCGCTGACCTCAGAGTTAGAATCTCCTGTTGGACTCGATCCACTGACGAACGAACGAGTGAAAGCAAATGGATTTGTTATGTGTAGACTACTCCCACTCTGCACTGAAGTCTGAGAGAACTCAGTGCTCTGAAAGATCAATTTTCGGTATAGAACCGTGACAAAATTAAGAAATTTACTATATCTTTCTCTTCTTTATTCCTCCTATCCTCAGGTAAAAGTGGAAGCGGTGTAAGGTCAGTGCCATTGGCGTCAATCAATCTTATTGATGGTCTAGACTGGCGTTTTTCACCTTCAGACTTCTTGGAAACACAGCTTGATACGCGTGAGCCAAGAACGAGTGCACTCTTCCTCAAAACCTGTCCCAAATTCTTTTTGGACTGTGCCAACGGAGTTGCATCCTTTATTTGTCGAGTTGAGGACTCCAGCGTGACAGCTAACACTTTTGAATAGTTACGCGTTGTTATGGTAACAGAGACCTTGAATGTTGATTCAATGTTGATCCAATACTGCAGGCATAGGCCACGGATTCATGATTGGTACATAGTAACTAGACTTTCGATCAAGATTCCCGGGCTGAGTAAGTTCGTGTTTTTCACTGGTTTTCGTTCACCTGAAAGGCTTAAAAGAGAAAGGATGTAGCACTGCCGTCTAAGTTCTCAGCGCGGGACAGTAATCTCGTCACCGTAAGGTCTCCACTAAAAAGGTAAAATTACTTAGAACTGGGTGAACAACTTTTGCAGGAGGGTTAATTCACTCAGCCGCTACACGAAGTCGAAAACCGCTGCTCAATGAAGGTGTGTTCTCTGAGCTTGAACGTCTTACTATGTATCTGCCGTGTGTTGGTTGGGTCAGTGTTTGGGCATACCTTGTTCAAACAGGGCAGAAGTAAGTAGTAGTTCTCCCCAGATGCAACGGTACTCCGAGGAAAATAGGCCAAGCACCACGGGACGCGTTTCACAGCCCATGGAGATAAGGCCGACAACCATTCTCGTAGCAGATCATTTGACACGTCCAACAAGGGTTATGGGCTTCTTGCATCCCGAGTAGACGACTTGGTTGTCATATTGAAGGAGCGGTCTGACGAAGGCCAGACAGAGTGTCTGGAAGTTCATGTGGGTAATATGGGGGACGTGCGCCGAGTCATCTGTAGAACGTTGAATGCCTTTTCGGTCTACTTTTGACAGTGCATTGATAAGGACGTGCTTGCACAGAACCAGATACCAAAATCCTTTCTATTGTCTATCATCGTAATGTCTTCTGGTCCGTTCTCATCATATAAGACAAAGAGTTTCGCTGAATGAAGCACGGACGGGCTTTTCTTCACTCAGAGGAAGGTTCAAGTCAGACGACCACTGCACTGCAGCGTCAATATCTATTTGGAGAGCACTGGCATGTGAAGAGTGGGATTTCAGGTAGTCCGCAAAAAGTGGAGATAGACTTTAAAAGTAACATGACATGGATCCCGAAGAAATGGCCTTCAGGAATTCTAATGGAGACCGGCGCCGAAGAAGAGTAGGTCGGGCCAGCATTCACTCGGAATGTCCTGTATGACGGAACAGCCTTTATCCGGCGTAAAATTTCCTCTAAAATCTTGGAAGACTCCGTCTGTGGAGCAGCGAGACGTGTGAGACTCGATTCAACGCCTTTGAGTATTTGAAAAATATGGCGTCCGATATGTGCCCTTCGTCTCACTACATTGAACCAATGTGTCATCGGTAGTTTATGCAAGTGGCAAATGGGCTGCTAGAGGAGAGAAAGAATCCTTCTTTAAGAGTATAGTTTTTGGGAAATATTTCGGGAGGTGCTTGGATGAGGCATTATTACAAAACATGATATAAAATCAAAAGGAGCATACGATGGACGCTGTGATCAAATCAATATCCGATTGCGTCTTGTTTTAAAACGTGGCTCTGCTTATTGGAAGTAAGTCGGGGAATGACAAACGATTTTCTAATCAGCGATAAAACCGGGACGTTTTAGTGGATGATCCGGGCCGACATCGCAAAAGGGTTTTTTCGCACATGATTCGGTAGTTTTCAATCCAACAGTGTTTGGAATTACTGTAGCCTACAGTGTGTGCACCGGTAATTTGAACTTGAGAAATCGGGCTTCTGTATCGTTGTTACCAAAAATCTGCTTGGCGAAATGGTAATATGATGCCAGAGAAACCATACACCGTAGGTGTGATTTTCCTCGCCGGAAACAGGACGGGTTAGGGGTGTATATCCCACCCCGATAGGGCAAGGCCATTTCATCTTTCATGATCAAATCTATCATATTCAACCTGCTCATAATCACTGCTTTCCGGAATCGGCTTTCGGACACACTTAGAGTCATGGAAGAAACGTAAACCGCAAGAAGGTAACTCTGATGTTTCGAAATGTACACGGAGATAGCCACCAAATGACGCAACACCGAATTTGAGGACGTCGAAACTTATTGCTAATTGAATTATCTTGAGTTTGGATCATTGCCACAAAAGCTTAAAATTCTTGGGGCTCTCGTCGAAGAAATGTTGTGTGAATGGCAAGTAAGGCACTCTCTCACTTCGTCAGCTGTCGGCTTGGAATTGCTTGACAATTGATATTGTACCTTCAACCGCTGGAATTCACGTGAGTGCCCGCCCATTATATTAACTCCCAGGACGCTTCCGCGCAGTTTTTACTCAGTCTGCACAGCGTCAATGTCCGTGGTCACAAACTCAGACTCACATTTTCAGAATCACAGAATGATATGCAGTATCCAGACATTTTTGCTCGAGAGTCCACTGTCCACGGTTTTTGGGTGTCTAGGAGTTTTTGGGGCAACTGGGATGTGAAGCTGAATAATGATGTGGTACCGCAAATAAGGACCTTAACCTTGGGCGCTGAGCCCGTTAGCGGAAGTGGTAGGGAGTTAACGAGAAGCGTATCCAAATGGGTTTTGTGGGAGGAAAGATATTTCACGCAACAACCCCTGAAAGTGAACAAAACATCAGCCCCATCATAGCGTGTGCCAGAGTTTTGAGAAGGTACTTGCACTATCTGCTTGCTCCCCGGTATTGTCAACGACAAAATAGAAGCCTCATCTTCCCCTAACCACAATTGAATGTGTCACCATTCCAAAGAACCACAATGTGATGAACGAAACCAAATAGTCTCTGACCAGTCCTGAGTAGATAGCCTGGTTGGTGAATTTACGGAGCGAAAGTCCGTCAGCCGTATAGACATTCTGAAATTTAAGACAAACATTGCGGAAGAAAGTATGTAAAATCACCCAATCGACTACGAATGCAACACAGGTTAACTTTCTAATGGGGCAAAGAGGTCACAGTGAAACAAATTCAGAGATCTAAGTGCTCTTCGGTATCCAATTTCGCCGTTTATCGGCTCAGCGAACAACACAGTCATCCGCTCAATTTCTTTTCAATTTGGACGCGTCTGGAGTGTACACAGAGTGTGCGAACTGTAATAAAAGCCAGAAAATACCCGAAATATACTTACATTCACATGAGTTCAATCGCCATACATGCAGCCTAACGCATGATTCCACCAGATATCGTAATTACAGCGCATTTCAATGACTTCGATCCTGGTGGTTCCTGCATGTTTTTTAATTGGTGGCGTAGTATTTTACAAACTGGATTTGCACTAGTTATTAGGCACCAAGTGGTTGAAACTAAAATAGAAACGAAATCCGGCGGTTATCCTCCAGCAAAGCAAATCATGGATCAAATGTCGTCCGCTGCTAGCGAGGATGACCGATTTAAAAGCTAAATACGTTGTTGTCAGTGCAGTAGATGATTTTTGTGCTACATAACCATCAATGTGTTCCTGAATAACCGCCGGCTCTCGTTCGCAGCTTGTCAAATTGTTGTTTGTTGGATTCACGGATTCTCGGATTGATGTACAGGATTGACGCTTTCGCCCAAATTTACCGCTTTTTAAGTTCTCAGCGCGAGGCTTTTCGCTTGCCAGCGCGAGAATCCACATAAATAAATGTCTAATAGTGCTTTGAATTGGGTTCAGGGGGAGCCCGCGAGGCTTTTCGCTTGCCAGCGCGAGAATCCACATAAATAAATGTCTAATAGTGCTTTGAATTGGGTTCTAGGGGGAGCCAGGACAACAGTCAGAGAAAGGTTATTTCACGCACCGAATACCCGAAGTGAGGAGTAAATGTTGCCTAAGAAAAACGTGCACTCTGAGCTTGGAAGGCTCCCCGCCATGTCCCCGTCGTGTGTTTGCTGGATCAATGGTGAAAAACCCTTTGGCCAAGCCTCGTTTAAACAGGCATAGGTAAGAATTAGGTCCCTTCTTAGGCACGCGACTATACCCCAAAGGGAAGCGGTGAAGAACTGCTGGGCGCGTTTCGTAGATTACGGATTTAAGGTCGGTGACCATTTTCGAAGTAGTTCGTTGGACACGCTCAACGAGGTTTATGGCTTTCGTATATTCTGGGTAGACAACCTGGTTGGCATATTCAAGGAACAGTCTGCCATAGGCCCTATATGGTATTTTGACGCTCATACGCGTAATACGGTAGACGGTGCATTTAATTATTTAAAGAGCGCCGAATAGGCCGATTTTGGGCCAACTTCTTGAGGTGCTGTGAAAAGACACGTTTAAAGAGAAGCAGTTACCTATGTCCTTTTTGGCATTCATCTTCTTGAGGTTTTCTCGACCTTCCTCACCATACACGACAATGGTATTCGCTGAGTCTTTGAGTCTTCATTGACGTATATCAGAAACAACATTGGTCCCTAAACGGAGCGCCAGGGAACTCCAGTGGAAACCAGCGCTGTAGAAGAGTGCGTCGAGCCTACTTTCACCCGAAACGATCCGTCTGATAGGAACGCCTTGTTCCAGTGAGAGTTCTTCTCTTGAGTTCTGTAAGACTCGAGTTTGTGAAGTAGCGGGACGTGTGGAACCCTATTAAATGCTTTTGAGATGTCCAAAATATGGAGTCCAATATGAGTCCTTTGTCCTTGGCTTGAGTTAACCTGCCCAGCACGGGAATGAGGTCTTCTTTTGGACATGCTGCTGACTGGATTAAGGAGTGCGAAAATGCGACGGACCAGAGGACGACGCGCCAGGGATGGAGAACCGGAGGGTTGGGAAGTCTGGCGAACCGCATGAAGTTTCGAGCCACCATGACCCCGGACTGAAAAAAAGCGGTGTCCTGCTGTAGGTTAGTTAACCATTGGTACTCATCAGCAATGACGTTGAGCGTCATCGAAGGACCTTGCTCAAGACAATTGGGCAGAAGGGTCCATATTTCTGCAAATTTGGAAGACTGGGGGGATGCTTATGAAAATGAGCGATTTGAATCAGTTGGTTGTAAGCGACAATTTTAAACGTTCGCATCTACGATCACAATTGTTTGCGTGCGTCGAAAGGTCGTCTGACTCGTTCACAACCAACTTTGAACAACGAGACAGCGTAATGAGCGCTGAAGGTTGCCCCCAAAAGTCTGCGTCAGAGTCTACACTGTGTCATCGGAGGACCTTTCCCGCGGGTCTTGCGGTGGAGTCGGATCTCAGTAATTGTCCAGCTCTGCTAGGACAAGTTTACGAAGCAAGAGCCGGAAATCCCATGCATCGTTTCGCGTAGTGAGATAGGCTCGGAATATGTTCGCCTGGTGGCAGAACCTTGTCACGAACGTGGCTAAAGTGTCTGGGTCATAGCTAAACTTGGCAATTCTATTCGCAATTCCTTCAAATTGCTGACCTGGTGCCGAAGCAGCCGTTGCATTGGTAGCGGGAACCCTCAACTGCGTAGACATTTCGATCAACAGAGTATCTGGAGGCCAGCCCTCCCTAATAACCGAACGTCGCATCAGTTGGACGGATGTGTCACACATGCTAGGAACAAAACGACGGCATGCTCTGATTGGACAGAATGCCATCCAACCTATATCGAGCACCTTTAGCTCGACGCTTCACGCTTCCTCCCGAAGACCTTAGCACGACCTTGTGGAACACCCTGTGATCGTCCTATAAATACAGTTG